GGATAACTTGTATGGCTGCGAGAGGAGGGCGATGGGGCGGTAGTTCTTCATTAGGTCGCCCTTCTTGAACAGAAGAACCGTGCTTGACGTCTTCCACTGGTCCGGGACCTCTTGCGCGTCCATGTACCTGTTATAGCGCCTGGTGAGCTGTTTTATGACGGTGCCGACTTCGAAAGTCTACTGAGATGCGGTCAGGTCCTGGTGCCTTCCCCGGCTTCATTTGACGCAAGGCGTGTTCCACCTCCCACTCTTCTATCTGTGGGGCCGCGTCCTGCGTAGGTGTAGGTATGCGTGGAACTGGCATCGTTGATCGGTAGAGATCCGTGTAGAAATTGACGGCGATCTCTTCAATCCTCGCTCTCGATGTCTGCGGTCTGCCCATCGCGTCTCGCATAACCGTGGTGACCGAGCGAGAGTCGTTGATGTCTCGACGACATCGTTTGAGATCCTTTACTGCGATGCGGCACCCTTTGTTGATCACGGCGCGCTCCAGTGGTGTTGATGCAGGGTTACGATGGACGACAGCGCGTTGCTGCAGAAGTGCGCGAGCCTTGTCGTCAATCCTGCCTTCGAATCCGTCCTTGTTGTGGTAGCCGATGCCATAGCGCAATGTCGAAGTCCTTCTATGAGCATGGTATAGTCTTGCGACAAGTCTTGCGCCTCCTGCCACGTGTAGTGAGCGGCGGCCGTCTCCATGGCGTTTGTGTCGTAATGTGGCAACCGTATGGGAGGGGGTCGGAAGAAGTCGCGTCTTCGGATTCTCGCTCGGAGACGAACTTTTGCTCTAACCAGCCTATGGTCGCTCCCAGTGCGGAATGCATCCACCACGCTGACGTAGACTCCACTTATTAGTGAGAACGTGGTCGATTTCGCTGTGAGTCGTTGCATTCGGACTCTCCCACGTCCATCGCCGATCCTCTTTTTTCGTGAAGAAGCTGTTTCCGTGAAAGAGATTGCATTGCTCTAAGAGGTCCATCAGACGTTCGCCGTTTTCGTTTGTTTCTCCGGTTCCGTGTGGTCCGATGCGCGCTGTCGCTGGCATCTCCTCATGGATGACTGCGTTAAAGTCTCCGACAACATATTTGTAGTAGGACCGTTCCCTTTTTATCATCTCCTCCAATTCCTTGTAGAACGCGTCCTTTTCTTCGTCCGTAGCTGTTGACGTCGGTGCATAGCAGTTGATAATACTAACGAAAGTGCGCTTGTCGATGCGTAGACGTAGGATGGCCAGTCGCGGGCCGATCACTTCGACTGAATCGACCATGTGCTCGAGCCGATGGTGGACGAGGAATCCAACACCACCGACATTTCTTCCGCTCAGTTTGGCTCCGAGAACAATTAGGTGGCCATCGTTGGTCTTCCTGGTAGCTGTTTCTTTTGCTTTTGTTTCCTGGAGAGCGATGACATCGAAACGAAGTCTTTTACTAGCCTCCATTAATATGGTCGGCTATCGAGGCAATGGTGCGACAGTTGTAGGTGCAGACTCGTAGACAGTCCCCATGCCTCGAAAGCTTTTCGTCCTGTGCACTCCAAATCCTGCGGCGGTTTTTGTCTGCAGGTCCCTTCAGGTCGCCGTTTGCTCCAGTGCACGTAGAGCTCGTGCTTCCTTCTGCGCCGCTCCGGACCCTCTGTGTGCGTGTTGTAGCTTGTTTGTTTACCAATCCTCGGGTAGCTAACCCTTTGAGGTGGTATCTACCCCCACTGTTAGGATATTCCCGTTTCGCCCCTCCGCCACTTCCAAGCCAGTAGTAGGATTTGGAGGGGAAATATTTCAGATAGGTTGGGATAAATCGCGAGCGGGTTTTTATGCTTCATACGAAATCAACTTCTTTCAAGCGCAGTTTTTTTGCAAAAGCAAAAGCACCATCAGAACGCCCAGACTTTTCTCTCTCCAACGAGCTCTACAGTTTCTGAGGATTCGCTAGTTTACAAGATATTTTAAAAGGTTTCGCGCGAGGTTCTTAGCCACCAAAAGCTTGACGTCCGGTAACTCGTTCGCGAACTTCAGCATGCCCTCAAAACAAATATCTCCTTTGAACTGAGTCAAAGCATAATTTGGTTATAATCGATCGATTTTTTCCGAGTGTGCGCCGTGCGTACGCTTCTACGCAAAGGCGATATAAAGGTTCGACTTCTAAGTTTAGGTGATCCTTGTCCATGCGAGCAAAGGTTTGTTTAGGGTTTGGAAAGGTCTATACGCACAAATCTGTTTCAGATTTATAATTCAGTCATCTACATACTCACGCGTCCATGCTAAGTGTTGAAATTGCTAGTCAGTTCGGCACTCACCAAACCTACGTATATGACCATCCCCCTTTGCCCAGCGGCCAAGTACGACGCCCCCCCCTCATGGGTTACACACGTTAACGATGCTGTACCGTGCCCACTGGCTCATGCGACGCTCCATTTTCATACCTTCCGAAGGAGGACAGCTTTGATTCTCCCCATTCTCCCCACAAGAAGGTGTTTAGCCGACAGCTAAACACCTTCTTCTCAAGGGGGAGGGGGGAGAGTCAAACCAATCGCGGACATTCCTACAAATCATGGGA